ATATTTTTGTATTGAAGATGGTTCAAGCGTTACTTTGCACACAAGATTGGCTTAGAGCTAAGGAAGTGCCAATTGTTGATGTGGAAGAAAATTTGAAAGAGTTAGAGGAAATAGAGAAAGGTAGTAATAATTTTATGTATTTGAAATTTTGTTACACCAAATTTATTATTTCATTGTTATCAATCATTAATATATTCTATATTGTATTTTATTTAGAGGTGCAACGTGGTGAATCTAACGATGTAGACGATGAAGTTGTTTTCGTGGACTCATTAGTGTGAATCACGCGATCAAAGGGAAAACAACTCGTTGGAGAATTTATGTATTCCTAGTACTTGAGAGTTGAGACTTAAGAGAATTTATGTAATTTTATGAGTTTTCGTGGACTTATCTGTATTTTCGGTGGACTCATTTGTATTTTTGGTGTTTCAGAATCGGGACTTTATAGACTTTATGTAGTTTTGTAATTGATAATTTTGGTTTGTATGTAATTATTAAATTATGCAACAGGTCTAAAAATCACAAAACAGGTCCATATGCAGGTCCATATGCAGGTCCAGCAGGTTTTGTATTAAAAAAAAAACGAAAAAGACACAAAACAGGACCATTCAGGTCCAAACCCGGACCGGACCTGATTTTTCAGGTCTGGCCCGGAACCGGACCTGTTAATTCAGGTCCGGTCCCCGGTCCTCATAATTACCCAATTCAGGTCCCCGATCCAAACCGGTCCGGTCCAGGTCCGGTCCGGTTTTGGACCGGTGTACACCCCTAAATGTGTAGCACCCCAAAATGGCAAAAGTTGCAACTAATATGTAACGGAGGTAGTATATAATGATCATATATGGTTCCAAACGGCATTATATGACCCCGAGATGTAATCCTTAAATTTCAAGGCTTTTCGACACCAGGTCTCGAAATCTTAAAAATTTCTCAAAAAGCGTGGATATAAGCCTTCAATTTTGGAATTTTTTGACTTTTTTCACCAGGAAATAAAAATTGCCGAAATGTTTACCATGGTCCTTAATACCATCCGGGAGTCCCATTGGGTGGGTGAAACCATCCAATTTGCCTTTAAACAACCAATTTACCAGTGTACAACTTGTACCGATTTCATTAACTCAAGCCTACCACAAACATTTATGACAACAAATGATGATCATATATGGTTCCAAACAGCATTATATGACCCCAAGATGTATCCCCTAGAATTTCAAGACTTTTCGACACCGGGCCCCGAAACCTCAAAAATTTCTCAAAAAGCGTGGATATTAGTCTTCAATTTTGGAATTTTTTTGACTTTTTTTCGCCCGGAAATAAAAATTGACGAAATGTTTACCATGGCCCCTAATACCCTCCGGGAGTCCAATTAGGTTGGTGGAACCATCCAATTTGCCTTTAAACGACCAATTTAAGTACCGGTTTCTAACTTGCACGAATTTCATTAACTCAAACCTACTACGAACATATATGACAACATATAATGATCATATATGGTTCCAAACGGCATTATATGTCCCCGAGATGTATCCCCTAAAATATTAATACTTTGCTACACCGGGCCCCAAAACCTCTAAAATTTCTCAAAAAGCGTGGATATTAGCCTTCAATTTTGAAAATTTTTAATTTTTTTTCGCCCGGAAATAAAAAACTACCGAAATGTTTACCATGGTTCCCAATACCCACCAGGTGTCCAATTGGGTGGATGGAACTGTTCTATTTGCCTTTAAACGACCAACTTACCACCAACATTTATGACAACAAATAATGATCATATATGGTTCCACACGGCATTATATGACCCGGAGATATATCCCATAAAAAATCAAGACTTTTCGACACCGGGCCCTGAAACCTCCAAAATTTCTGAAAAAAGTGTGGATATTAGCCTTCAAACTTGGAATTTTTTGACTTTTTTTCGCCTGGAAATAAAAATTGCCGAAATGTTTACCATGGTTCTTAATACCCGCTGGGAGTCCAATTGGGTGTGTTGAACCATTCAATTTGCTTTTAAACGTCCAATTTACCGGTTTACAACCTGCACTGATTTATCGGTTTACAACGACCAATTTAATTAACTTGCACCTAATCCGACTTGAACCGAAATTGACCCAAACTTGTTTTTAACCCGTCAAAACTCGAATTTAACTCAACTTGTTACTAACATTACCTGAATTCAACCCGACCCGCTCTAACCCAACCTGAATTTAACCTAACCTGTTACAAACCCAACTCGAAATCAACCCGACTTGTTATTAACCTGTCACAAATTCAACCAGACTTGTTATTGACCTGACCCAAATTTTACCATACCTATATCTTACCCAACCCAAAAATTCAACCCGATCTGTTAATAAACCGACTCGAAATTAACCCGACTTGTTATTGACCTGACCTGGAGATGACCCGACCTGAATGTAACCCGTAAATAATTGATCTGAACAGAACCCGACTTGAACCGAAATTGAACCAAACCCGTTTTAATCCGTCAAAATCCGAATTTAACCCGACTTGTTACAAACCTGACCTGAATTCAACCAGACCCGTTCCTAACCCGACCCGAATTTAACCTAACCTGTTACAAACCCGACCCGAAATCAACCCGACTTGTTATTGATCTGACCCAAATTCAACCCGACTTGTTATTGACCCGACCCGAATTTTATCAGGCCTATAACTAACCCGACCCAAAAATTCAACCGGATCTATTACTAGCCTGACTCGAAATCAACACGTCTTGTTATTAACCCGACCTAAATTCAACCCAAATTGTTCCTGACCCAATTTCAAATCACCTTAAATGCTATTTAGACCACCTTATTATTGTTGATCAAAGCATTTTGTCTTGGGAGACCAAGTCGGTCCTAGCCAACAAAAGAAAGGTACATCATCCTCAGATTTAAGAGTTAAATATAGCATATAGATTTGTTGTATGGTCAAAGGAGATAATTATCTTCCTAAATTATAAACTATAGTTCCCTAGTATATTGCCATATACTTCCTTCGTTCTTTTTTACTTGACCCGCTTTGACTTTTACACTATTTATCACCGCTACTTTGATCGTCTTTTGTGAATAATATGTGAGGAAAAACATATTCATGTAGGATCTTTTTGAATTCGTCTCAATAAGTACTATCAATAATATATAAATTTTATAATTTTTACTTATGTAAAATTAAAGTTATTGATTGTTAAAGTTTTGCATTGGCAAGCGTGATAAAAGAAATAGGTCAAGTAAAAAAGAACAGGGGAAGTATATTATAGTCAAAGGAAATAATTAGCTTGATAAAAATGATAATTATCTATTTATAGTTAATTGAACCCGGGATGATTTGACTTGGAAATGACCCGACCTGATTGTAACCTGCAAATTATTGACTTGAACATAACTCGACTTGAATCCGAGAATGACCCAACATGGAAATGATCCAACCTGATTATAACCCGCAAATTATTGACTTGAACCGAACCCGACTTGGACCCGAGAATGACCCAACTTGAAAATGACCCGACTTGATTATAATCCGCAAATTATTGACTTGAACCGAACCCGACTCAAACCCGAGAATGACCCGACCTGATTCTAATCCGCAAATTATTGACTTGAACCCGACTCGAACCCGAGAATTACCCAAACCCGTTTTAACCCTTGAAAACTTGAATTAAACCCGACCTATTGTTCACCCGACCCGAATGTAACCTGACCTGTTTTTAACCCGACCTAAACACGACCCAAACGCGATAAGAAGTATGACCCGATGTGACCCGACTCAAGCATGACCCAACCCAAACCCGACCCGCATAGGTTATGGAATTAATCTGAATTAACCCAACCTGAGTTGACCCGACCCACTCTTACCTACCCAAACCCGACCCGTTTACCTGAATTGACAGCTCTAAAGGTCACCTATGCAGAGATCCCAAAACCATACCCACCACCAACCCATCCATTCCATTCGGCGCTAGGTTTCCTGGGAAACACCCCCGCTTAAACTCTTTCAAACTCAACTTTGACGGTTCACTCAAATACCAACTCAACAGCAGCAGGTGTCATCATTAGAGACATCACTGTTTGTCTGTTTACCTTATTGCAGCTCGCACCTTCAACCTTGGCAACACCACTATTTTTGTTGCGGAAGCAACAGCTCTCCAAAAAGGCATCCTTCTCGCTCTTCAACGCGGGATTATAATCTCGTAGTAATTAATGCAATCAAAAGAGTTTGGTCCATTCCATGGCAAATCAATCACATCATCGCCGATATTCGATCTCTACAAAGGTTTCAGCAATAAGATATTAACCATGTTTATACAAAAGCAAATAGAGCAGCAAATTGGATCGCGAATAGTAAACCCTAACAGACTTAGTAACCTCTAACCAAGTAAAATCTAACCAACCGAGTAACCCATGACCAAATAGCTCTTGACTAACCGATCGAGTAACCCCTTTTCTTCATCTTCTTCTTCAATGAATCTCTTTCGAAGCTACTCCAATGACGTTGAAGAAGACGACGATGACGAACAACCCCAACTCCACCAAATCAACCCAACAACCCTGTTTTTAAGCTTTTGTTGCGGAGTTGCTAGAGAATTTTGCCGAAAATCACACGTAAAACCCCTAAACATCAATTTGGTGGCTTCAAATTACTTGCTCTTTGTGTAAATTTCTTGCTTGAATTTGTTTGTATGTTGTACCAATCATCACCATGGAAGGTAGAAAAGAGAAATTATTCTCATGAAGCGTAGGGGAGAGAAAAGCATGAGAAGGGAAATACAATGAAGAGTAAGAAGTAAGAAAACAAAAAAATAAAAGTTGAAAAAAAGTTGTGGCTAGCCACACCATATAAAAGTTTATCAATACAGAATAATCGAAAGTTGGGATTATTTAGAGTAAATTGAGCAAAGTTGGGATGATTAAAGTTGTATTTTAATCGTTTTTATTTTTAACCCTAGGTTTACCCAAAGCCGTGTTTGGTTTTCATTTGCTCAACTTTAGTGCGAACAATTTTCCACATAAACTCAATACTTTGTTGTATACCAACTTCCATCTTTCAAGGTCTAACAAAATACTGCTGCTTAACTAGATTCAGTTCTTTCAATGACTATGATCATAAAACTATCAAAGGCCAATATGATAGAAGACATACATACAGGATGGGAGTGATTCTGCACATATATTCTCTGCTTCAACTGGAAAATTCAATCCCAGGGAACATGTACAACTTGGGGAATCAGAACAATATATATGTCGAAATGGTAATCAAATGACATGGGCTTCATTTTTAAGCTCGTCGATCAGCTCATCCACTGAAGACAAAATGACCCCTGCTTTCCTCTTTGGAGGTTCAGATACTTCGACCACATCCAAATCAGATCTTATTTGGACATTCAGCTCCTCAGGAGTCACTTTCTTTATTGGCTTTGATTTTGCCTTCATTATATTGGGAAGTGTCGCATATCTGGGCTGATTCAATCTTAAATCGGTACTGCGACCCAAAAATAAAAAGCGTCAAAATCAAGTCAGGTCAAGATTCATTCAAATATACATTGCATCAACTTGAAAAGAAGCACCAGAATCTATACATATATGTGATCAGGCCATCAAATAGATTGTATACTGCTAGATTCTTGGTGACTAATTTCGATAATATCTGCACCAGATAAGTCTAATTCAAGAAAACACATTCATACACATATGCAGTTTGCAAGCAAGGCAAACTTAACCTAGGCCTCAATGGCAACGCATGCCTTAGAGATCACCTGAATCTATACAATAATACAAATACTGTAATTGCTAAAGAAAATTCTATACTGCTAGATTCTTATTGACTTTTTAAGGGGGGAAATCTTCACTGAATTATATGCAGGAGCAAGGCAAGCTTAGTCAACTCAAGGCATCAAAGGCAAAAGAGTTCTATGCCAAAGTTTAGTAATATAGTATGTTTAAACTCACAACAAAATATTCAAGTAATAGTGTTAGTAAAGTTTTTTTCAATAGTATTAGTAAAGTTTGTTAAAACTAAACATCAAAACTTTTGTTTCTAATTGTGACGGCTACTTAGAGAATAAGGCCTGAGATTTTTGCCCATTGGCAAAAGCAATAGACAAGGTCAATTTTAACATCTGGCTTTCTTTGTCATGGAAAAACAAAAGAATCTTAGAGGCCCACTCTACTAACAAGTTTGACTAATCAATCTAGAGTCCTGCTCATCAACTTTATAGCCAAAAATCCATTGTCTGCCTTTGCTTCTGTATAAAATGATAAGCATTATAGATTTATAGATCATGAGATGCAACTAACATTTACCATTTTATTTGCCGTAAGTTAATGGTAAGGAAAAAAGTAAAGAGGGATGAGATGCTCACGTAATGACGGCTGGTAAGTCCAAAGATAGTGTCTCAATACCACCATCCACCTCTCGGTCTACTGTTGCTGTTTGTTTCTCCTTGTCCAGCACAACCTACTATAAACAAAGCACAAGTTGAAAATGGGGGGAAAATTTTGATCATATAACTATATAAGAAAATTTATTTGATGAGCTTTTTAAAATAAATTACAGCTTTCCAATTTATGATGCAACCCAGAAAGAAGGTTGGTAGCAAAACAAACTTTTCTACAGTTTTCTGCTCTACACTCTACAGTTCACAAATGAAGGTCAATCAATCCAATTCAACTATAAGCCACCTCCTAGCTATGTTCCAGCAAAAAGCATTGCACATGTTTATAAAATTTGGTACAAAGAACCTTCCCCATGCGGGACTAGTGGACTCCCATGGCTCACACTTCAACAGCATGATCCAACTACAACACTATATCCATAACCCCAGTCAATTAAGCACTCCAAAGTACAGTTTCTGAAGGCTAGCAGATTAGAGAATCTATTACACATACAAGAGAATCGAATTAGGGAGTACAAACCACTTTTCTCCATCACAACAATACTTAGCGAATTACGATTAACTACAGAATGTGACTCGTGAAAAACCGTAGTCTTTATATCGATCAACCTTAATAAAACTATTAAAATTCTAGTCTATAAAAACTATTCCAGGTTTGTTTCAGTCTAGGCTCGTGTCCCTTGGTCAAAAAAATTCAGTTTCTATACTTTCCCTTTGGATTATTCACATCAACCCATACACCCTGATACCCTTGCAGAGAATTACACGCTACAATTTACAATCTAAATCTTCAATATTAATTACTTGTGGTTCATTCTCTCCTTTATTAGCATATCACCTTCTTGACAGCTATCTGGTGTTAGGTTCTTAGGCTGTATATTCATTGTAGCTGATTGGTCTATGTAGTCTTTCATAGACCAACATTTTCTGTCCTAGTCTATCAATCAACTGCGGTTAACCAATGTGTAGCTGATTGGTCTAAATTCTAAAGTTCTATAATTCATTTTACACCAAAAATACAATCCTTTTGACTTTCGTATCACCTTTTATGATTGGAGGCAGCATGTCACATTTTACTAGTGGGATCGCTACTGCATCACAGTGGTATAAAGTCAAAATTGCTGAAGCCATAGGGACATTAGTGGAGATAAATAGTATACCTAGCCGAGTAAAAAAATGTAGGAGGATGAGGGAATATAATAATTAGCGAAGTCAAAAATGTAGAAAGATGAAGGAATGACTTGAGCAGCACAAGGTAAGAGACAACCATGACAACATTGCAAAAGCCAACCACATGACTTGGGTAAGTTGAAATCATAAAACAAGATAGGTATGATTTGATAAAGGTGTGCCAACATCACGTGGTGTAATTCAAGTGGCATTATGGCAAGATAATGGTTATGGGAACTAGAACATTAACAAAATAACTTACTTCCCTAAGTGAGGCAATGTGAAAGAACTTAAGAGCTACTTTAGAATGATATGGACAGGCTATAATGAAAAGATCCAAAGTTCTAAATGGATTACAAGCCTTTGATGAATAATAAATTACAAATAAATTTCTAGGTTACGGGGCAGAAACAAAGAAGGTAAGCAGTCCTGGATTTCACAAATTAACAAACTTTCGTAATAGTTTTACTAGCCAATAATGCAGGGGATAGAATACCGAAGATATATAAAGTAAGCAATGTGTAAATGAAGCTATGCCATTGACGATAAATGACAATAGGCAATTCAACTTAGTTGTGATCTTGAGATAAATGTGCAATACCTTTGAAGCGAACGTCCCTTGGGGCCACTTAAGTAGTCCTGCCACCATCTGTCCAGTTTGGTTACAGTCATCATCGATAGCCTACAATACACAATAAAAACAATAACCTCAGACACATGCTTTTAAATGCACTTAATAGATTTTCATATGTACTACAAATTTATAAAGGAATTGAATGAGAGCATACTTCCACATAAAGCTGTGGAAAGCGTATCCAGGCATAATAAAACAATATAGCTAGTGTTAAAAGCAACCAGACACAAGCTTTACACCCCCTCCATATGTATCTCCTAGATGAATATAACATCACCTCATTTCATTGATTAATAATATAGCATGGTTGCAACGACATGAGAAAATCAGTAGTTGATAGCTACAAAATGTGTTCAAGTTAAGTACTCCCAATCATCCTGATTTTCCCATCAAAATCCAAATAGTTACTATTTTGCATAAAACAGAAAGCCTAAGTGGCTTATTCTTCAAATAATTACTGTTATAAATTGTTTTATTATTAAAGCATTATATGGAATTCACTTTTTGAGATATAAACATATTTCTACTTCATACAGTGAAAAATATAAAGAATCATCAAACTGACATCCTTTGTCACCGTTGCTCCAAAAATATATAAAAAAAGTATGTATATATTCCCCAAATGCCTATCAAAACAATTATATCAAATTCAAAAGGCATGTCCATTTGTCGAATTGAAAAAAAATCTTGGAACATTCATCAACAAACATTTAAGTAAACCATCTCACAATCTGCTCAACACAATTGAGCTCAATTACCTAAGTACCTTACTTTCGTCAAGTAAATATTCACTCACAATCGTGCAGCTACCTGATCTATAAAAACCCTGGTAAGGAAAACGGGTCTCCATTACACATTCTCATATTTCAACAACAGGCCCTTATTTATTTATCCCAAATAACTAAATATCTACAACTAATATTCAAGATACTTCAACAAGAGCCCCTCAATTATCCATCCCAAATAACAAAATATCTACAATTGATATTCAAATCTTCAACTCAACTCTCTTCCCCTAGAAGCAACACTAATGATGAATAAAGTATGCTCATATATAAGTTCCCGGATACTCTCTAATTATACCAACAACTAATCTATCAATTAAAGAAGAATCTCGACTCTTAAAACCTAAATTACACAGGAAACACACATAAGCTGATAAGCCTAACTACGTTTTCACTATAGTCTTACCAAATACAATATACCTTTTCAAAATAATGAATCAAAGAAGAATCTCAATCCTTAAAATCTAAAAGCCACTGAAGACACACATAAGCCAAACTACGCCTTTCAATACAGTCTTACCATACGCCGTTGTTGAATCCTCTCCTCCTCACAACACCATCGAAAACGATCAGACTACAAGCACTAATTAGGGTACATTTTATTCACCTGATTTTTACTCATTAACCCTTATTAGAACTTTTTTTAGTTATAAATTGAACTTGGGTAGCCTAGATTAACCCTTATCACAACTTATTTTTTGTTGAACTTATCTTATCTGAACTTATTAACCCTTACCTAACTTAATTATTCTGAAATAAATGAAAATAAGGTGAACAGAACAGTCACACTTAAGTTCCTACTTACAAAATCAAATATTCCCAAAATTTAACCTCTGTCATTCCCAACAATCTCTCTTCTAATTCATAAATTCTAACCCTTGCATCATCAAAAAAAATTGCAACAGAAATTACATCAAACAAATGCAAAATGAACTAATAAAGCACTAAGAATGAGTGATCAACCTGTTTGCCAAGAATTAAAAGCCCTGGCTTCTCAACATCAATAAGAGCCTTAAGCAACTTGGCAACATTCAAAGGGTACAAACGATCCGATACTGATTTGACGTGTATGGCTCGATCAGCTCCCATTGCTAAGCTCGTACGTAATGTATCGACGCACTGCGCTGATCCCATGCTCACTGCCACCACCTCTGACGCCAAACCAGCCTCCTTTATTCGAAGCGCCTCTTCCAACGCTATCTCACAAAACGGATTCATCGACATTTTCACATTCTTTGTCTCCACCCCACTCTATCAAATCACACAAAATCAAATTAATCATACAATTCACTTGATTAACTCATAAAATTCATACCCACTCTATCAAATTAATCATACAATTTAATCATAAAACTCATCCAATAAATCATGAAATTCATCCAATTAGATATTTTTTAGTTGTTGAATGAAGGTAATCCAGAATAATTGAATGCCAACAAATAATCAAACCTCAATAATCAGGCAAATGATTGAAACTCTATGAGAGTTTAAGATGATTACCTTATCAGGTTTAACTCGGATTTTGACGGCGTAATCGACGACTCGCTTGATTGCAACCATAATCTTCATCTTCTGAAAATTGATTAGAGTTGAATTTCTAGGGTTTCGAAACCTATGATTTGCGGGAAAGATGAAATAAAGAGAAGTGTTTTAATTTTTGAAGTGTTGTAGAAAAGTGGGAAAATAGATGACTAGATGGAGGTTAGTCTTAGTCATAAGGTATATCCGTTAAATGGATGATGACAATTTGAGTGTTTTGACTCGTTACGCAATTAAATGAGCAGAATTATGGGCTTAATGTAGTACTCATAATTTACAATATGTGGGCTCTTCACTTTAAAGCCCAATTAATAACTTTGGGCTATTATTCAAAGTTACAATTAAAAGTTAACGAAGATAGTAATTTAATTGTAAGAATTATGTCAATGGGTGTGTTCGGCGGTAACTTTTAGGTAAACTTTAATTAAATTACCAAGTTTAGGGATAGTTTTTAACTTTTTAATGGGTCGTCAAGTTGAAAACACGAGGTAATGATAAGGTATTTGATAGTGATTTTAGTAGTAAAAAAGTTACAATGTTTACTATTGAAGCGTGATTAAGAAATGTTGATAATTTGTCAAAAAAAAATGTTGATAAATTTTCTTACCTAAAAACTAAAGGAAAAATGTAAACTAATAATCCCACCTTTACTCCATCTTCCATAAACAATCCCACCTTTTGAAATTCCAGAAACAATCCCACCTTTGACGGGGGTCTTCCACTAACAATCCATAACCGGTTAAATTATTTTGGTAACCGGTTTTACTAGGTTATGAGACACGTGTCGACTTTTAGTTGGTTTATTCTATTTTTTATAATTAAAAAAAAAACAAAAACAAAACCCCTAACCCCCGCCATTGTTATCGGGGCTAGCCCCACCCCCGCCCCTCCATATCACTGTCGCAGCCGCCTCCCTTCCTCGGCAACCCAACCTAGGCGTCCGACTTAATCTCAACTTCTCAATGATCTCTTCGTATCTTCTTCTTCTCCTTCACTAACTTGAGGAAGGTGGCTGGGGTCGAGTTTTTCGAGGCTAGGGTTTGGGTTTTCAAGGATGGGTCGGGTTTTTAGGGGCTGGGGATGGAGTTTTCAGGCTTCAAAGCCCAAAATTGACCCTTGATATTTCTTTTAAATTATTTTTGGGGCTAATTTAGGGGCTGAATTGTGGGTGTGAATTGATGTTGCAGCTATTGAATTGGAGGTCCGGCGGTTGTAAGTGGGCTGCATTGGTGGCGCGTTGATGCGGCGTTGTGAGGTGGGTTAGGCGGTGGTTTACCGGCTGTTGCAGAAGCTGGTTGCTTGTTGTGAGCTTCTGTTGCGAATTTGTTGTGAGAAAGGTGCGTGAGTCGTGGCTGGTGCGATGGCTGTTGGCTGCAGTAGTAGCGCGGCTGCTTTCGGTTGCCGCTGGTGGTGAAGTGGGAGAAGGGCAGCAGCATGTTGTTGGTGCTAGGTGAGGTGTCAATGTGGTGAGCAGGTAGGCTGGTATGGTGAGTGAAGGAGCTGCGTGGGTGGAATGGTGGTGGACTGGTGGTCCAAGGAGAAAGACTAAGAAAAAAAATTATTAACCGGTTTAACAGGTTGTAGGTCAAAAGGATCATTAGTGGAAGATCCCTGTCAAAGGTGGGATTGTTTCTGAAATTTCAAAAGGTGGGATTATTTATGGAAGACGGGGTAAAGGTGGGATTATTAGTTTACAATTTTCCAAAACTAAAAACTGATAGTTAATAGCAAATTTATACATGTGTCTTGGGCTTGGGTAAGTAGAGAAGGTAACAAGGTGGCCCATGAGCTTGCTCATGTGTCACATTGGGGAGTTGACAGGAGAGTTTGGATGTCAAATTCTCCTAAACATATTTGTACTTTAGCTTCCTCTGATCTTCAGTTGAGTAATGTTATTTGAGTTCCCTTTTGGGGCTTTGTTCAAAAAAAAAATAGTTACTGTCATAGTTATGGTCTGTTCTCTTTAGTTTATTTTCAGTTCAGCTCCAATAAGTTCAGTTTAGTTCAGTTCTTATCTTAATTTCCTTCTCTTTATAGAATATTTAGTTCAGTTGAGTTCAGTCAATCAGAAGAGGCCCTTAGTAGCTACTTCCACAATTACATGTATTTTGTCACACACTCACACTTTGCCAATATCTCATCTTCTCTCGCCTTTTTACTCTTCCTTCACTCGTTCACCCCAATCTTAAGGTGTATGGATAGTGTTTAGTGTTGGGGGTTAAGGTTTAGGGTGATAAGAGTTTGGTTAGGGGTTAGGGTTTTTATTTTCATGCACTACATACTCGTCACAATCCATGACATACATATATGCACTTCGTATGGCATTACTTCGACCTAGCGAACCTTTGTTTATATTATTTACTCGCTCGCATTTACATAGTATTTAATATATGTTGAGAATACTAGCCAAGCTCCTTTTGTTCAGTCCATCTACACAAGCCCAGCCCAGACTCAAGATAGATCAAGTATTGTGAGCTCTCCAGCTGACTCGGCATAAGTTGTTATAACAACTTTTCCACCTCAGCAGTCACACTTTTTGTGCTCTTTCTTTCCTCTTTAATTAGTTGGTTGTCAGCACTAATTTCTAATTCAATTTTCAATTTTTCTTCTTACCCACTTTTTTCTCTGTAATAATGAACTCTCAAACTTCCTCCATTTTTGCTCCAAGCTGAAGCTTGAGCTCGATTGATTGAATGATGAAGACAACAACTATTTCTGTTATATTCTCTGTTTTGATTCACAATTTTGACATGGTATCAGAGCAATAATCTGATCGATCGTTTTTCCGCTGCATTTCTGGATTGTTCTTCGTCGTTCTTCGTATTTTCTGGAGTTTGTTGTTCTTCATACTTTCTGGAGTACGTCGTTCTTCGTATTTTTTCTGGATTTCTCTTTTGAGGTATTTTTTCTTCGATTTCTTCTTCGATTGTTAAAATTGAGATTTCTGTCTATTTTTCATCTTCAATTTCTTCGGCGATTGCATGTTATTCTTGAGGATTCTGTGTTTTTCTGTTTGGAGAATTTGTTTGTTGATTACGAAGTAATTTCTTTTGAATCGTTCGATCTGTTGAGATATTGTTGCGATTTCTGAACTGCTGAATTGTTGTGATCTTTCGAGCTATTTTCTGGTGTTTTTGCTTGTTTTTTGAGGCATGGAAAATCAAATGAATTCTGCTAGTCGATTTATAGAACCTACTCAGGATCCTTGTTCTGTGTATTACATACATCCTGCTGATAATACCAGTTTGAAGGTCGTTTCTGATCTGTTTAATGAAGAACATTATAGCTCTTGGAAGAGATCTTTGATTTTGCACCTTTCTACAAAAAATAAGATGTGTTTTGTGGATGGTAGCTTACCTAAACCGCCTAGTCTGGATTCTAAGTATAAGGCCTGGGTTAGGTGCAATGATTTGGTCATAGGTTGGATTCTAGGCACTCTAGGTCCTCTTATTATTAAGAGTGTCTTCTTCTATAAGACTGCTCATGAAATCTGGAAGGATTTGGAAGATAGATATGGCCAAACTTAGAATGCTCAAATGTATTCAATTCAGGAAGAGATATTTGCTGCTCATCAAGAGGATGACAGCATTCCTGAGTATTTTTCCAGAATTAAGAATCTCTGGGATCAGTTTGATGATGTTTGTCCCTTGCCTATTTGCACCTATTCTGGTTGCACCTGTAATCTCACTAAGAAGTACTTGAAGATACAGCAAGATCAAAGGCTTCTTCAATTTCTGATGAGATTGAAAGCTAGTTATCAGCAAGTGAGGAGTAATGTTCTTATGATGATGCCTCTTCCTCCTATCAATCAGGCTTACAATCTTTTGTTGCAAGAAGAAAGACACAAACAGTTGAGTGAGTTAGGACATTCTTCTGAAACAATGGCATTTGCTGCAGAAAGAAAGAAATTTTATAAACCTCCGCATCAGAATCCTCAATTTGGTAAATTCTTATCCTTCTTTCAGACAGAATATGGGATACAGGAAAAGAGATTTATTCTGTGATCATTGTAAGATGACAAATCATACAATTGATAAATGTTTCAAGCTGCATGGTTTTCCTTCTAAGAGACCTCATCAGCCAAAGAAATTTGCTCATTATGCTCATGGTGATGATGACAATTCTGAGACAGATTCTCCTTTCACTAAGGAACAATTGAATGCTATCATGAGTTACATCTCCAAACAGAAGGATTCAAAATCTGAAAATTCAGTTTCTCTGATTGGTGAGAGCTCCAACAATGCTGCTTTATTTGTAGGTAAATTCTGTTTCTTATCTCAATTTAATTTTGGCTGGATCATAGACAGTGGGGCTACAAATCATATTTGTTATGATCTCAAAATGTTGAATACATTCACTGAGTTTCATAGTCAAGACAATAGTATTACTATTCCTGATGGTAGAAAGATACTAGTGACACATATAGGCACAATCAAGATAAATAGTCAGATAACCCTAAGGGATGTCTTATATGTTCCAGATTTTCATTTCAATTTGATATCTGTGCATAAATTGTGTCTGGATAACTCATGTTCTGTGACTTTTACTGGAAATGAATGTCTCATACAGGGGTCTTCCCAGACCAAAGAGATTGTTCTTGGTAGATTGTGCTCAGGATTATATGTTGCTGACCAGTTTTCTGAATCTGAGACTGTTCCCTTGAAGATTTATTCCTCTATAGAGAATAAGAGTCACATTGCTTCTGTTGTTGCTCAGGATATTGCTTTAGGATCTATTAATGATGCAAAGTTGTGGCATCTTAGATTTGGTCATATACCTTTTCCTAAACTGCAGATTATCTTTCCTGCTCTTAAGGTAAAAGGTTCTGATAATGTTGTTTGTCAAATTTGTCCTAAGGCAAGACAACATAGATTAAGCTTTTCTAGCAGTGAAATAAAATCTGATGTACCTTTTCAGCTGATACATGTAGACCTTTGGGGTCCTTATGTTCATCAGACATCTACTGGTTGTCATATGTTTGTAACCATTGTTGATGATTATAAAAGGATGACTTGGATCAAGTTGATCAAGTTTAAGTCTAATTCTGTTTGTCCTAAGGGATTTTGCTACATTTGTTAAGAATCAATATGGCTTTGATATTAAATGCATAAGGACTGATAATGCCAAAGAACTTTGTGAAGGTTCTATTCTTGATTTTTATCATTCTTTTGGCATTGAACATCAAAAGAGTTGTAGTGACACTCCACAACAAAATGGAGTTGTGGAAAGAAAACACAAACACTTGTTGGAAACAGCTAGAACCTTCTTTTCCAAGCTAAATTACCTATGAAATTTTGGGGAGAATGTGTACTTTGTGCTGCATATCTGATAAACAGAATGCCTTTATCTGTCTTAAACAATCTTTCACCTTATGAAAAGTTATTCAAGGCTCCACCTGATTTATCAAACCTGAGAGCTTTTGGCTGCCTCTGCTATGTGTCTACCCTCAAGGCACATAGATCTAAATTTGATCCTAGGTCTGATATTTGTGTTTTCATTGGGTATCCTATTGGTCAGAAGGGATACAAGGTTTTGCATCTTGCAACTTCTAAAGTTACAATTTCTAGAGATGTTGTCTTCTTTGAGAAGCATTTTCCATATCATATGAGGGATGCACATAGTTCTGATTCTTCACCCTTCCAATTTTTTATGCCTTCTTCTGCTTCTCCTTCCTTCTTTCATGATCCTTTCACCACAAATTCTGATGATAACACAGATACATCACATTCTTCTCCTCCTTCTTCTCCTTCTTCTTCTTCTTCTTTTCTTTCTTCTCCTTCTTCTTCTCCTTCTCTCTCTCCTACTGATGTTGTTGACATTCATGATGCTCTTTCTCTGCCTCATTTTGAACCACAAATTAGGGCTTTTACAAGGCCTAGAAAGCCACCCAAGCATTTTGGTGATTATGTTATGACTGTTGTTTCTTCTCACTGGTGCAATTTGGTTGCTTTCTCATCTATTTTACCTCAACATAGAGCTTTTGTTGCTCACTCAGCACCTTTATCTGAGCCTGTTTCCTATAAACAAGCTGCTCAATTCCCAGATGGTTAGATGCCATGAAACAGGAATTAGATGCCTTACATAAAAACAATACTTGGGATATTGTTTCCTTACCTCCTGGGAAGAAACCAATACAGTGTAAATGGGTGTTCAGGGTTAAACTCAAGGCATATGGCACCATTGAGAGATACAAGGCTAGACTAGTGGCTAAGGGCTACACTCAGAAATACGGGGTTGACTATGATGAAACTTTCTCCCCTGTAGTCAGAATGTCTACTGTAAGAATTGTCATTGCTTTGGCTGTTTGTAAGGGCTGGGATATGTTTCAATTGGATGAGAACAATGCTTTTTTGCATGGATATTTGCATGAAGACATTTACATGGTTCTACCTGAGGGATATTCTATTTCTGGTTCTAGTCCAAAGGTGTGTAAACTAAAGAAATCCTTATATGGACTTAAGCAAGCCTTTAGACAGTGGTTTGCTAAACTCACTACTGAGTTACTTCTTCAAGGCTTTACTCAGTGCAAGAGTGACTACTCTCTTTTCATCAGACTTGTTGATGATAAAATGACCATAACAGCCATCTATGTTGATGATATCATCTTAACTGGAAATGATGTGTCTGGTATTCAATCCTTGAAACAGCATCTTCACAAGATCTTTAGCATTAAAGATTTGGGTAATTGAATTACTTTCTTGGCCTTGAGGTCAATCATGTTCCAGATGGTGTAGTTCTTACTCAGCACAAATTCACAAAGGAACTTCTGGCTGCTAGTGGAATTGATTCTGCTAAAACTGTTGTTACCCCTTTACCTGTCAATCTTAAACTCACTCAAGATGATGGTGCTCTTCTTTCTGATCCTACTCTCTATAGAAGTTTTGTTGGAGAACTTAACTTTCTCACTCACACAAGACCAGATTTGGCCTTTACAGTTCAGAATCTTAGTCAATTTCTGCAGTGTCCAAGAGAACCACATTGGCAAGCTTTGCAACATGTTTTCAAGTATCTCAATGGTACACTTGGTCAGGGTATATTGCTCAAGGCCTCTGCTCAGATCACACTTCAGGCTTTCTCTGACTCTGATTGGGCAGGATGTCCAGTTTCCAGAAGATCAGTGTCAGGGTATGTTATTCAGCTTGGTCAATCTCCAATTAGTTGGAAGTCAAAGAAGCAGGCTACTGTATCTAAGTCTTCTTCTGAAGCTGAGTACAGAGCCATGGCTAGTGCTGCTTCTGAGGTTGTTCATATGGTCAGATTGCTAGGTGAACTTGGTGTTTTCAATCTGCAGCCTGTGGTCTTGCACTGTGATAACCAGTCAGCTCTTCACATTGCCAGAAATCCTGTCTTCCATGAAAGGACTAAGCATATTGAAATTGACTGCCACTTCACTCGTGAAAAGGTTCTAGAGGGTTTGATTCAGCTCACATACTTGCCTACATCATCTCAGATTGCTGATGTTCTTACTAAGGTGCTTCATTCAGAGAAGTTTAATGAGCTTCTTGCCAAACTTGGTTTGTTCAGTCCCCAACCAAGTTTGAGGGGGGGTGTTGAGAGTACTAGCCAAGCTCCTTTTGTTCAGTCCATCTACACAGGCCCAGCCCAGACTCAAGATAGATCAAGTATTGTGAGCTCTCCAGCTGACTCGGCATAAGTTGTTATAACAACTTTTCCACCTCAGCAGTCACACTTTTTGTGCTCTTTCTTTCCTCTTTAATTAGTTGGTTGTCAGCATTAATTTCTAATTCAATTTTCAATTTTTCTTCTTACACACTTTTTTCTTTGTAATAATGAACTCTCAAACTTCCTCCATTTTTGCTCCAAGCTGAAGCTTGAGGGGGGGTGTTGAGAATACTAGCCAAGCTCCTTTTGTTCAGTCCATCTACACAGGCCCAGCCCAGACTCAAGATAGATCAAGTATTGTGAGCTCTCCAACTGACTCGGCATAAGTTGTTATAACAACTTTTCCACCTCAGCAGTCACACTTTTTGTGCTCTTTCTTTCCTCTTTAATTAGTTGGTTGTCAGCATTAATTTCTAATTCAATTTTCAATTTTTCTTCTTACACACTTTTTTCTCTGTAATAATGAACTCTCAAACTTCCTCCTTTTTTGCTCCAAGCTGAAGCTTGAGCTTGATTGATTGAATGATGAAGACAACAACTATTTCTGCTATTTTCTCTGTTTTGATTCACAATTTTGACAATATATACGCAACTTTAATCGTAATATCATATGAATTACGAGTAGTAAAAAACACCGAGCATACAAAGTCGATCAAGATACTGTCACATGATAATTTTTTCCCTTGCAAAATATAAAAATGCATGGAAGTAGTGAACAAAATAGACCGACAATGGGAGCAGAAGTGCAGAATAATAAATCTCGTGGAAGTAAGGGCAAAGTTGATATGTTCTTAATTGTCTTAGTCTTCCCTTAATTGCAGTGCCCAACAATGATCCATGTGAACAAGTTCATAAAATATCCAATACGTCAAAAATATACATGTATTCATAGTTTCATACTGTA